CGGCGGGCGCCCCGCAACCCCACACTGCCCTCGGAGCCACCGGTTCGAGTCCCGCGCCCGCGCCCCGCCCGGCTGAGGTAACCGGGGGGGCCGGGGGAGGAGCGGGGTGCGAGGGAGCACAGGGAGGGAGAGACGTGAAGAGTCATGGAAAGAGATGGAAAAACACGGACAGACCCGTAGGGTGCAGCCCTGGGGCTGGAAACAGCGGAGGGGCGGCAGCAGGACCCGCTGTGGGACCCCCAGGGGTATCGCCTCCCTCAGAGCTTCGCACAAAGCTCCGTGCTGAGGGGACTTGGTAATTAAAAACTAATAATAAACCCCCCACAAGTAGTGAGGAGGGTCCATAAAAGGTCGGGCAGGGGTTGTGACCTGGTTTTGTGGGGAGTGTTTGGGCTGGTCCTCTTTGGCCTGGCTGTGGTTTATAGATTTATAGGGGAATAGAGATCCAGAATAGTTGGTTTGTGGATTTAGGATGGAATAAGGATGGGGAATAGTTCTTTTTTTTATTTATAAAGGAATAGGGATAGGGAATAGTTAGGTCAAGGATTTATAAGGGAATAGGGATGGGTAACAGTTTATGGGTTTATAGTGGAAAAGAGATAAGGAATGGACGGTTTAAGGATTAATAGGGGAATAGGGATGGGGAAGGGTTGGTTCATGGATTTATAGCAAAATAGGGATGAGAAAAGGTTGGTTCATGGATTTATAGCAAAATAGGGATGAAGAAGGGTTGGTTTATGGATTTATAAGGGAGTAGGGATGGGAAATGGTTGATTTATAGGGGAATAGGGATGGGGAACAGTTGGTTTATGGATCAACAGGGGACTAGGCGTGAGGAACGGTTGGCAGTGATGGTCTTTTAGACTAAAAAAGTTAAAAGGATGAAGCTTTTTTGCTGTGCCTTCATGAAGAAGTGGGTAAATCCTGATTATTTACAGAGCAGGAGTTGGGCTCATCCCTATAACAGCCAACCCGTGCCCTTTGCTTTCCATCTCCTGCCAGGGGCTTGGAAATCTGAGGTTTGGGGATGTGGTTGGGTCTTTCTGCAGTCCCACAACAAGAACAGTCCGGAGGAAAGGAGGGGAATTTGGAAACGGGACACCCACACTGCTCTCCTGGATGGGATTGATGAAAACAGCTTCATGGGGTGAGGGTCAGCCTTCAAAATCCCTCTTAAAGCAGCAAATGTGCACAAAAAGCTAAATAGGTCATCATTCCCATGGGTTTGGGAATTGTCAGCTATTTCTGACAATTTCAGCCTGAAAACCAAGGCAGAGGTACATCCTGAGCAGTGGGTTTTATCATACATGGAAAGAGAACTCAAAATAATGGTGCAAGTGATGGTGCTTGCAGGCAGGGATGCCTTGTAAGTTAAGTGGGGATAGGTGTTTATAGAACCAAAGAAAGCTGCTGAAGATACATTGTAATGGTTTTTAAAAATCATGAGTTTCCATTAAAAAACTTGTAGATGGCTGCATTTCTTTTTTTTTTCATCAACTCGGGCCACAACACACCTATTTTATTGCCTGCAGCTACCTGAGTTGCATTTAGCCATTTCTTAGGGGGTTTTATTACTATCTTATTTTTATTTGCTTGAAAATATCCCCATCCAGGAGCTCTGAGCACAATGGATTGATCGGCTCCACTTTGCAGAGGGATCATTGTCTAAATCTCCACCCACCTTTTGTGTCCCGAAGCTGCTCGGATAACCCGGGATGGAACAAAGTGTCGTTGCCAAAATAAAGCAGTGTCTGCTCTCCTGCAGCTCAGAGGAGAAGCCTGGCCTGGCCAGCAGCCAGGGAAAAATCTGGGAGTCCTGGAAAGTAAAAGGGAGGAGAAGAAAGTCCTTTTCCTGCTGCAGGCATCTGCCCTTAGCTCCCAGAACTCGACATAAATGGAGCTTGTGTTCACCTCACTCTGGAGATTTGGGTGTTGATTTATGGAGGGGAAACTCTTCTGTTTAATGCATTACCCAAAGTCCACCCTTAAACAATGGGATAGCTGCAATTCCGGAATATCCGGACCACACGGAGCATATTAGAGGAGGTTTTGCAATTCCTGATTTGTGTGTTGTTTTAGGAAGGTTTTCCTGCTGGGGGCTGGAGGTGTCAGGGGGTGGAAGGGTCCCATTAGCATTCGGTGATGGATTTCATTATTTCCAATAATGGCATTTATTATTTCTGTAGTAATCCTGCTGTAATTGCTTATAATGGCTCTGTGTGAGGGGAATCAGCGCTGCAGCTGTTTCCTCTTCCCTGTGAACTGGGAACAGCTTTGCCCTTTGAATCCCTGTCACCTCCATGGTCCATCACTCCGTTTCACAGATGAGTGCCTGGAGAGCTCCGGGAGCTCTGCACGCTGCAAAAGCCCAACCAACCTGTGCTGGGTTTGTGTAAAACACCACGGGGGATTAGTTCCAGCTGCAGTTTTGCTGAGATAGCCTGACTTCCACTTTAGCAGGGGCATTGATTCATAAATGCTCACACAGAAACCTCTGACTCACAATTTTGGGATTATGGCTGAGGCAGTTGGAGATGTTGCCATCCCCAGCTGGTTTTTCACCCCTGGTTTGCCATGATTGCCCTTCCTGTGGCAGAGGAACTCTGTAGCTGGGTTGTTGCTCCAGCTGCCTTCCCAGTTTGGCATCACACTCCCTGGAATTACCTAATTCAGGGGGCGGTGAACCCTGACAGAGCAGCCCAGTTCTGCTGTGGCACAGCAGCTTTCAACACAGGGAAGGATCACAGAATCCCAGAAAATCCTGAGCTGGATCCCTCAGGGATGATCAGTGCAGCCCCTGGCCCTGCCCAGACCCCCCAACAAGCCCACCCTGAGCATCCCTGAGAGCGCTGGCCAAACGCTCCTGGAGCTCTGGCAGCCTTGGGGCCGGGCCCATTCCCTGGGGAGCCTGGGCAGTGCCAGCAGCCTCGGGGGGAAGAACCTTGCCCTGAGATCCATCCCAAGCCCTGGCACAGCTCCAGCCCTTCCTGGGCTCCTGTCCCTGTCCCAGAGCAGAGCTCAGCCCCTGCCCCTCTGCCTCCCCTCGGGAGGAGCTGCAGACCCCGAGGAGCCTCCCCTCAGTCTCCTCTGCTCCAGCTGAACGAGCCAAGTGCCCTCAGCTGCTCCTCAGAGCCTTCCCCAGCTCCGTGTCCCTCCTCTGGACACTCTCAAACAGCTTTGGATTTTTCTTTATTTTTTTATTACACTGCGTTTTTATAACTATTGCAAACAGAGAATCTCATCCATCACGTTCATCCCAAATCCTGTGCAGATGTTCTCAAACACACAAATTCCTCCTCATTCCAGCTACCACAGCCTTCCCCTCTCCAGCAACTGCATTTCCAAGCACCCTCCCAGTCCCACAGCAAGGAGCTTGTGTCAGTTCTCAGCTGTTGAGCTCTCCAGAGAGCCCCCAGCAGGTCCCAGTTGCTCTGTGCTCTTACCCCAAGCAGGTCACAGCAACTGGGCTGCCTGAAACCTCCTGGGAAAGAATCTTGTACAGCCTGAGTTACTCAATAACCAGAGCAGTTAATGAGGAAAGGACAGAGGCACCAACAAACCCATCTCTGTTAGGGATCTAAGTTGAAAATGTTTCAGGCTGAGAAAAGCCAAGAAGTTGATTTTCACAGATTTTCCTTTCTTAGCTTGTTTCCCTCTGCTTTTATCTTCTTTTCACAAAAGAGGTCTCAAACAGTAGGTAAAATCACCAGTCAGTGATTCTTTGTCAAGCTTTTATGGGTTTTACTTTCGGAATAGGCTGGAAGAGGAGTTTCTGGCAGCACAGGAAGAAAAACAGATTGAAAACTGTTGTGAACATATTAGAGCAAGAAATGGGCGTGGGATAAATAACTGTCTTCCCTCTTCCCTGTGTTTTCAGGTGTGCAAGTGTTTGTGATCAGATAACACAAGATCGGTGCTTAGAAAGATGTTCAGGAGCTGAAACACTCATAAATCTCCTAAGGTTCTGAAATCCTGCACGTTGAAACCACAGCTCTGTAACATCATTTATTCCAAGAAGGAAAGATAAACCCTTCTGTCATTTAGGTGATTAAAGCAGGATTAAATCACACAGCTGCAGAAACTGCTGCTCCTGCCTGGTTTTCTGCCACTGGTGGAGCTGAAGCTGCTCCTGCCTCTGTGTTCTAGAGGAGCAACAAAGCTCCAGGGAAGGGGAATGGGACAAAAATCCTTTTTGACAAGTAGCAGAAAGCCCTGTGTGTTTTGTGCTTTGCTGCATCACGCTGTCAGGGCTCTCCTGGAACGTGGAAATGGATGTTTGTGGCATTTAGCAGCATCAGGGGAATTCATCCTGCTCCGATTTGCTGACGAGGGAAGAACAGGGGGAAAAACATGAGCTCCCTTCCAAAGCATGTGCAGTCCATGCATAGCATTGCCCATTTAGTACCTCTCCAAAAATGGGAATAAAATATATTAATTTATTAATTTGTTGAAGCAGGCTTTAAAATCAAGTGGATCTGATTGCCTTTTCTCTCTATTCCACTGCAGGAAGACTCTGCTTGTTGTTGCAGCTTTGAGAGGTGTCTAGAGATGCAGCCAAGCACCAAAACAGGACAGAAGCTGAGGCAGAGATGTTCATCAGGATGTTTTCATAGAAATCATTGTCTGTGATGACTTCACGCTGTAATTTAGCTGATTTTAGTCATGGAATAATTTAAATGTTCCCATTGGTCAGCTGTCTGTGGAGACAACATCAAGAGCATGTGAGGCTTTATCAAAACACTGGACAGTGTTATTTATAAACTTCCCAGACCTATATTTTATAAATCTTATAAAAAAATTAGCTCTTAAATTTACCCCTCTCCTTCCTTAGTACTTCTGGTTCATCTCCTCACAGGTAACAGTTAAGTACCAGTTATCTAATTATAAATACTCCCCCACTGAATCACTCTTTAGTGTGTCAGAATCTATTCTGATCTTTGTGGGACAAGTAATTAGAACACCTTTTCTAGCTGGAAAACTCTCCTCATTTTCATTGTCATCCCTGTGAGAATGATTTCATTTGAAGGTCAGGTTTTCTTCAGACCCACTTATGCTGGAAGGAGATTGCCAAATGAAGGCAGAATTTTTAGGTGTTTACCAGATCAGGGAAGAATTTATTTTTCCGAGATCTTTGTGAGATAAACTAGAAAAAAACAGTCATCAAGCCAACAAAAAAAGTCTGTACTCTCACAAAAAAAAAACTTTGGGTCTCTGTTTTTCCACTTCAAAACAGCTGGCATGGAGAGGGATTGAATGCAGATGAGGTAATACATGTTTAAAATGCTGTAAATTCTCATTTATCTGAACTAAGGGTGGAATCCAACATCACCTGGACACCTGGGAAAGGCTGAGTTGTTCTTTTTGAGTTTGCAGGATCGAACTGAGCTACTTCCACATAAAAATAATGTGGGGGTGGGAAGCTGAAGTGGGAAGAGGAAATCAGCTGGAAAGGGGCTTGGCCAAGAGCAGGATCCACAAAGAACACTCAGAAGGTGGCACCTTGTGATTTCTGTGCAGGAAGCGTGCTGGGGCACTTTGTTGTTATCTCACCCTGTTATGGGTCTGTAATTCAGGGATAATGTTCCATAACACTGATTCCTGTATTGATTTTTCTCTGTCTGTTGCTGCCAGTTATGAACAAATGGCCCTGAGGAATTTGGAGGTGGTTGCAACACAATCAAGTGAAAGATGTTGCAGCAGCTTCCCTTCCCCACCCCATTTTCTGTTTCTGCTCAGCTCCAGCCCCTCTCCCGAGTTACCCAGAGGTGATGGAGCTCTGGTTCCTGCTGAGGAGTCACAGAGCAGGGGATGAAGCCCTGTCCCTCCTGTTTGCATGGAGAGGGCCTTGGGGTCCTGAGCAAACCCCTCCACAATCAATCCCATCATGATCAGCATTTCAGACTCCCTGGAATTCCTCCGTGAACATTTTCCTTTCCCTTGCTTCTTTGCTGGATCCTTTGCCTGGTGGATTTAGGAGTTTGTATTCTGTTTCCATTTCCCCCCGCCCCAGAATCCATCACCATCCGAGGTTTCCCTGCAGGACAATCCCCCTGCCCAGCCTGTGCTGGGAAGGGGAATGGAACGGCCTGGATTGTTTCCCTTCAGTTCCTCGGGGGCTTGGATCAGGCAGCCTCAGGGATGAGGAAGTGCACAGTGCAGCTCTGCTTTTGTAACCCCTAATTTCATTTGGAAATGTTATCCAAACAAACAGCTGCCAGCAGGATGAGCGTTAAGACCTGTGCAGAGGCTGCTCTGTCAAAAACTAGCTCAGAGTGAGCTTTGCCTGCTGAAACATTTTACCCAGCAGCTCATTAACATGGAGATACTCATAGGAGACTTTCCCCCCCGATTAGATCCTGCCCGTGATAAGAGCAATAACGAGCATATTTTCCCATAAATAAAATGAGCAGGCCTGGAGGGCAGGGAAGGTTATTTTGCCTGGAATCAGATTTATCCCACGCTCATCCCTTGAAGAATTGGGGCTGAGGGAACCAGTTCAACCTGAGAGCAAGCCAGAGATCAAGGAGCAAAGGGGGATTTCTTCCAGCTCTGTGTGCTCCACACTGCTTTATTTTGGGAATAATCCACGTGGATTCTGTCACTGGCCAGAACTCCCTGTGCTCAGGGCCAGGGCAGCCCTTGAGGTGCTGTAGGAGGGACAGGAAAGCCCAACTTTGGTAAAAAGTTTCTTTTGCCAGGCTGTTTTTTGAGCTGCAGGAGGGGCAGGAAGGTGCAGCCTGGGGAAAGCTGCTTTGGCCAGGCTGTTTTTTGAGCTGCAGGCGGCCTTGTGCTCTCTGCATCCGTGTCTGAACCAATATTTACTCAGGGCTCTGTGTACTGGGATTGTCAGCAATCCCTGCAGTGAGAGCAGGACTGGAGCCAGCATCAGCCCAGCTTAGCAGCTTCCCTTGTTTACATCTTTTTAAAAAATACTCCTGACTTCCAGGCTGGGGAGAGGTGGCAGCGTGACAGCCCCGGTGAGCACGAGCCCTCCCTGCAGCAACCTGCCCACCCCAGAGCCTCTGCAGCCAAAAATCCCCTCTGGAAGTGGGTGGGCAGCAGACCCTCAGCCTGGGCAGGCCTTGGCATCTCCCCAGGAAGTGACAAACCTGCTCTGGAAGTGACAAACCAAAGTCCAAAGACTTGGTGCTCCCTAAGGGGCTGGCAGCAAACTGCCATCAAAGGAACACCCAGGCTGCCTCAGGAGTGGAGGCTTTAAAATGAAGGCAGCTCTAGTTCAGTGCCAGAATTTTCCAGTTTTCCCAAAGGGTTTTATTTATGAAGCTGTTCTAGGTACAGATTAACTTCCACTGCCTCCTGTTGGTCATTAACTCTGGGAGAAGCTGAGGTCTGAATGGTTCGTTGCTCTAGGAAAGGGGTGAGCACTGCAGTGTTTCACAGCCACGCTCCCGTGGTGCCTGTCCTGGTGTTCCCAAAGAAACCAGACTTTAGGGAGCTGTTTATTCCCATGTGTGCTGCTGTGTGTGTCATACACAGACACCCTGACTCCTCTTTGGGAGGGCAGAACTCCACTTCCAAAGGAGCTGAGCATGTGCCTTGAGCTCTTAATGAGACCAGCAGATTTCCTGAGGTGCTTGAAGATAAAGAGGTGGCATAAGGAAGGTAAAGACCCTTGAAATTACTGCTCAAGCTTGGAGCTGTGACCTATTTAGTTTGATTTCCTGCTCACAGTGACTTTTGCCAGCTACTTCAGGTGATGAGCTGAAACCCTCCTGCCTCAGAGGTGTGTGGAAGACTTGGGAATGGCTGTGACTACTGGAAATAAACTGGACAGGAGCTGAGATTTCGTTCTGAAATCTGTTTTCTGGGGTGTTTAGCACATTTCTGATACCCCTAGAAATGTTTGTCTGTTCTTGGTTCAGAGTTTCCCTGTTGGATTGTGCAGTGAGTAAATCCTTTCAGATCCTGGTGTTGCTCTGGCTTCCTGCTGCTTCCCTGGACTTTTGTCCTGCAGCACTTTCATTTCTCAGCTCACAGTTCCTTGTTCCCCTTGACGTTCCTGTGTTTGTTTGGCTTCCCATGCAGCCACGTCCTGGGTCCAGGATCATGGGCTGGGCACTCTCAGCCCATCTTCAGCCTCGTTGGGCTCCTCAGGGAGGAAAATGTCACCAGGAGTCCTTTGAGGAGCGGGATGTGACAGGAAGAGATGGGAGTCAGCAGGTCAGGGCTTAGCAGCTGTCAGAGCAATGTGCACAGGGCCACCCTCTGCAGCTCTGCTAAACCCGGGCTCGGGTCTAACATTAAACCTGATCCCTGCAGGGCGGATCCCACAGCATCCCTGGGGCCCAGCTATTCCTGTTTTCCAGGTTTGTGTGTTTAGGCTGCCCCTGCAGCCCCTCTGGAGCTGTAATTCCAGCGGGAACTGCCCCGTGGCCCTGGGGATTGGGAAGGTGAGGGTGGAGAAGGCATAGCTGAGGTGGGAGCTGATCTCACTCTGCTGCTCCCTCCCTTCTCTGTGGAAAAGGGGATTTCAGGTCGCTTTGAAAAGTCTCCTTTATAAATAATGTTCCAAAGCAAAATGTTCCTTTTAACCTGAATTATCTGTCCTAGTCCTACCTGAACTTCCCCCCCATTTTTTTTTATTGTTTTTAATTGGTCTCTGTTGCCTTTAAAAGTATGGGAGGTCACTTTGCCAGTGCTAAACGTGTCTAATTCTCTTTTCCTATTGTATTTGCCTTATTTTCCCACGGTTTCCTTGCTGTTTGGCATCGTCAGGTTTATGTTCTGCAATTTTAAGATTTTAGCTGTGATCAGGAATATTCCTTCTGGGGGGCAACTGGATGCTTTTCCCCACGTTATGGAGGTGGCACCAATTTATAGAAAACTGGATTTATTTTATCATTCTCAGGGTGATGGTGATGGGCAGGAGCCACCCCTGTCATTGTCACATGACACAATGGCACCACAGCTCTGGTTATTTGTATCATTGCTCTCAACATCCCTGGGATTTAGAAAACTCTGGATTTTGACAACAAGCCTTTCCTGAGGCTTCCATGCAAAGCAATGCAAATAAAGTTAATTAACATGATTAAGCTTTTATCATTCTGCTCCAAATTGTCACACCAAGGCTGGGACCAGGGTGTTCCAGCTGCCTCAGGAATGGTGTTTCCAGGTCAGTGTGGGATGCAGAGGATGCTTGGGGTTGCTGATGGCAGCCAGCAGCAGTTCTGTGTCCAGCTTTCGACAGGGGGGATCAGAGAAGCCCATCTCATGTCACAGGTGTTGTTAGTTGCCATTGTAGGACAAATAACCCAGGATTCTGCTCTAAAAAAGGAAGGGATTTTCAGGAACCCTTCCAGACAAACCAGTTCAAAAAACTTCAGAGAGAGGGAGGCCAACATTTCCCTACACAATCCTTCCAATACTTTGCTGTGTTTACTACTACAAAGTATTTGGGATTTTTCCCCTTAAATCCATGGCTGCTGTTCATCCCTCACTTCCCATGGGCAGGAACAGTTTCTCTCCAGTCTGTCCTCACTGGATTCAGCCAGGACACATCCAAAGTCTTTTCTTTCATCCAAAATACTTACTAGTTCCAATGAGGCCTTTTTTCCATGACTTCTTTTTTTCCCTGACGTCCAGGTATTACAGCTCTGACGCATTGGGAGGAAACTGGGATTTGGGAAAACAAGCTGTCCTTCATTTTCCTTGGAAATCAGCTATTGTTGCAGCTCTCCCAGATCCCTGCTCATTAGAATGTTGTGAAAAGCTCCCATTCCCAAGGCATTCCCAATCCTTGGATTGACTTTTCATCTGGGGAGGTTTCAAGAGCTCTTGGTGCAGCTTCATGGGGACATTGAG